CACACCTTCCTCTGTGCTTTTAGAAAACCCCCAAGGAGTCTGTTTCAAGAGTTTCTTCTGACCTGTTGGGACCCACAGAAAGCAACTGTATCCTTCTTTGTGTCCCTTGATCCACACTGTGGGTGGTGAAAGGGGAAATGCATGAGTGTTCACTCCATTTTCTCTAGCAGATTTAAAACAAATTAAGGTTAATTTAGGAAAATTGTCTAACAATCCAGATAGGTACACAAATGTTCACCAAAGGTTGGGAAAAAGCTTTGACCTGTCTTGGAAAGATGCAATGCTGCTACTAGCTCAACCTTAAACTTTAAATGAGAAAAATGAAGTCTTGGATGAAGCAAGAAAGTAGGGTGATTTGTGGTTCATATCCGATACTGATAGCAGCATGTCCTCTGAGAAAAGAGACAGATTCCCCACAGAAAGACAGGCAGTTCCCTTTGAGGATTCCAAATGGGACCCTGAGAAACAACTGGTGACTGGTGGTATAAACATTATCTAACATGTATCCTGGAAGGTCTACATTGATCCAAGAAAAAGCCTATAAATTATTCTCAGTTGTATGCTCATTTTGCTCATGAGCAAAATGGAAGTCCCTCAGCTTTTCTTGAGTGGCTCAGGAAGGCAATGAGAAAACACATTGTTGGGTGGCACCTTGTGGCTCAGTAGGTAGGGCATCAGCCACATATACCAAAGGTGGAGAGGGTTCAAACCCATCCTCAACCAAACTGCAACAAAAAAGTAGCCAGGCATTATGGTAGGCACCTGTAGTCCCAGCTTCTTGGGAGGCTGAGGCAAGAGAATCACTTAAGCCCAGGAGTTGGAGGTTGCTGTGAGCTGTGATATCACAGCACTCTAACAAAGGCAATAAAGTAAGACTCTGTCTCTAAAAAAAAGAGAGAGAGAGAGAGAAAACACACTGTTGACACCCAACCCCTTGGACACCCAAGTTATTTTAAAAGATAAATTTATCACTCAGCAGCACCAGACATTTGAAGAAAACTCCAGAAACTGGCTCTATGCCCCGATTGTAACCTGGAGAATCTTCTTAAAATGGCCACAGTAATGGCACTCCGACAAGCAGGCACCATTCAGGGGCAGAGGGAAGCTAGAGGAACTAAGAATAAGTGCTTCCAATGTGGTCAGAATGGCCACTTCATAGGCGAAGGTCTCCTGAGACAGTGATCCTATCAGCCCCCAAGTTGGACTGAGGGTTCCCAGGACAGTTTCTCCTAGCTCCATGTCATCACCCGTCAAGAGCCCTGTGTCTGCCTCATATAGGGCCAGGAGACAGAATTTCTTCTGGACACTGGAGCACCCTTTTCTGTACTCCGCTCTAACCCTGGTCTTCTATCCCTCAAATTTATACAGAGTGTGTCTGGAAAGCCAGTTACCAAGTTCTCTCAGTCTTTAAGCTGCAACTGGGGCAACTGGGTGTTCTCTCATGCCTTCCTAATCATGCCTGAAAGTCCTGTTCCCCTTTTGGGGAGGGACATACTAACTAAAGCGAGAACAACCATTTATATGAAGATGGGACAAGAATCTGTCCTATACCTTTCTTTATTAGAAATAGATAACTCAAAAGTATGGGCTACTGAGGTGGGAGGAGCAAAATATGGTAAACTGGTCCAAATTAAGTTTAAAAAGTCCCACCATAACTCAGAGATTTAGGGACAGCCCTCACGTGTTTGGACAAGCCTTAGCCCAAGACTTAAGTTGTTTTTCATAGCCCACAACAACTCTCGTTAAGTATGTAGATGACATTCTTTTGAAAGCACCAGATGAAGAGGAATGCCACAAAGCTACTCAAGCTCTATTAAACTTTCTGGCTAATTGTGGATATAAAGTTTCCAAGGCTAAAGCCCAATTATTTGTGACCGAAGTGCACAATTTGGGTTTCTAACTTTCACAGGGGAGGAGGGCCTTGGACAAAGAAAGAATAGAACCAATATTGGCTCACCCTAAACATTAAACTCTCAGACAGCTTTGAGGTATCTTAGGAATTACAGACTTTTGTAGATTCTGGATTCCTAGATATAGTGAAATAGCGAGACCACGCTATTCTTTAATTTAAAATGCTCAAAAAGAGTGTCTGGTCACTAGAATGGGAACCAGAAGCAAATAAGGTACTCCAACAGTTGAAAAATGCTCTTTTACATTTAAGGCCCCCACTTTAAATCTTCCTACTAGACAACAATTTAATCTGTATGTCACAGAATAAACTGGAATTACCCTAAGAGTCTTGACCCAACACAGGGATCCAGTTTTACAACCTGTAGCTTATCTTAGCAAAGAAACTGACAATGTGGCCAAGGGATGGCCACACTGTCTGTGAGTTGTAGCAGCTGTAGCCCTCTTAATCCCAGAGGCAATTAACCTAACTTTGGGAAGAGACCGAATTATTTGTACTTCTCATGACTTTACTGGATTTTTAAATTCAAAAGGCAATCTTTGGCTATTGAACAACCACCTTCTTAAACATCAAGCTTTATTATTAGGAGGCCAGTGCTATAATTATGCACCTGTGCCACTTTGAATCCTGCCACTTTCCTCTCTGAGTCCACTGAGGAAATAGGACATGACTGCCAACAAATTATAGCCCAGGCCTATGCAGCTAGAGAAGCCTTACAAGAAACTCCCCTACCTAATTCTGACATGGTTTTATATAAGGATGGAAGTTCTTTCATAGAACAAGGAACTCACAAAGCAGGCTATGCTATAGTTATTCAACATGCTGTAATTGAGAGTGGGTCTCTCTCTTCAGGAACCAGTGCACAATTAGCTGAGCTAATAGCTTTAACCCACAGTTTAGAAACTGGGAGAGACAAACCAGTCAATGTATACACTGATTCAAAATATGCTTTCCTTATTTTATATGCCCATGCTGCCATTTGGAAGGAAAGACAATTACCTCCCTTCCAATGGTTCACCCATAAAATATCTCATGAAATAGACAGGTTATTACAAGCTGTTTGTGCTCCACAAGAAGTAGTAGTTATTCATTGTAAGAGACAACAAAAATCTTTAGAGGACATTTCTGAAGGTAACCTACTTGCCTATAAAGAGGCTAAAAGGACAGTACAGAAGGGAACAATTCCCCTTGTGGAATCCCTCATTTGGGAGGGATCACTTGAGAATCATGCACCTCAATATACACACAATATAAAAAAGAAAAAGAATGGGATTTATTCAGAGACTCTTCACTACTTTTTTCAGGCTGTCTAAAAAATAGGAGTGGACTTCTGCTATTACCTGCTGCAAGTCAATGGAAAATACTTAAAACTTTACATCAGTCTTTTCATTTTGGCACTAAAAGTACCTATCAAGTAGCCAAGGCTCTCTTTAATGGAAAAAACTTATTTAAAACTATAAAACAGATAATAAGAATTTGTGATGTATGGCAGAGAAACAATCCTTCAAATTTCCATCTAGACTCCCCACCCCCGCTACACAAAAACAAAGTAAATAACCAGGTGAATATTGGCAAATAGATTTTACTCATATCCCTAGGGTACATGGTATATAATATTTGCTGGTATTTGTGGATACTTTTACTAATTGTGTTGACGTCTTCCCCTGCAGGACAGAAAAGTCCCAGGAAGTTGTAAAGGCTTTAGTATATGAGATTATCCCTAGGTTTGGACTGTTCTCAGAGTTTGCAAAGTGATAATGGGCCTGCCTTCAAAGCAGCTGTTACACAGGGAATATCTAAATCTCTGGGCATAAAATATCATCTACACTGTTCTTAGAGGCCCCAGTCCTCTGGGAAGGTAGAAAAAGTGAATGATAAAATCAAAGGACAGTTACAAAAGCTAACTCAAAGAGACTCATCTCCCTTGGACTAAATTACTTTCCATTGTTCTCCTTAGAATAAGAGATTTACCAGGAGACTCAGTTGTAGCCCATTTGAGTTATTACATGGAAGCCCCCTTTTAACTTACAATTTATTAGTAGATTAAGAAACTACAGAATTAGTAAAATATATTACTTCTTTGGCTAAATTTCAATAAATCCCTAAAAACCTCCCAACTACATTTTCATATTCAACATTAAAAGACCTTTTCTCTCCTGGAGATCTAGTTATGATCAAAACTCTTCCCTCCAACTCACTTTCCCTGACCCTAAGTTGGGAGGGTTCCTTTCCTGTAATCTTATCTTCTACAGCTGTTAAAGTTACGGGAATAGATTCATGGATACATCATTCACAAGTAAAATCTTGGAACCTACCATCTTCTATAGAATGGATCATGAAGAAAGTCAACCACAGCCCACCTACACTTGTGAGCCTAAAGAAAATCTGAAGTTATTACTCAGAAACCAGAAAGGAAAGTGTTAATATAGTTTTCTTTCAAAGTCGCTGACTTTGTTTTGAACCTGGTACTGTAATTAACCCCCTCCTCTCACTGTTCTACCCTTGCCTTTTAATGTGCTAATCAGATTTAAGTCTCCCAGAGATGACATCAGGCCACAAACAGTAAAAATGGCTCCTGTCAAGACCTAATTCTATTGCAGATTCCTGATCTCCTCCCTCTGGAAAAATCCTAATTGTCCCTTTCCATCAGCAGCCTGATCCAGTAGGAAGCAGTAAGACCAAGCTGACACCCATTTCCCTCTCTAACAGCAATTAGAGTTTTTACTCAGAGAGGGAGAATTGATACAGGGTTCCCCCATTTAAAGCTGGACAGGGGACCCAGTTTCTTAGGCCTGGACAATTTCATGAAGGGAACCCCCTGCCATTCCCCAACAAGCTGGAAGGACTACATTCATTCATTTGTTAATATGTGCACTAACATTGAAAAGGTGTCTTCCATCTACCAAGTCCTGACCAAATATAATTTCAAGACCTTATACCCCTAGACAAAAGACCCACACAAAGACTTCCCACTTGGGTCTTTCCCTCTGCCAGAAGCTCTGGTGCTTTTATACTCCTTCTGTATTCCTTTCTGTCTAATAAATCTTATCTTACCACTGATCTGTACTCCATGTGTTCATTCTTCAAATCCCCAAGACCAAGAACCTACTGAAGAAAGAAATTCCAGTAATACTATGTCACCTCAATTAGTTATAGACATGTTCATTCCTCTCGTCATGATGTATTCACTCCTATTGTCCTTTCTTTCTTGGCATTTTTCTCCTCGGGATTCTGTCCATACCAGGCATCAGAATGGCACTGTGTCCTTCCTCACCTGAAGTGAGAGCAACTTTACCTGCTGGCCCAGGACTTTGGATTGTATATACTAATCTTTCTGTTGTTTCAGGCTTTCTTTGGATAGCAGCTCATAGGCTCCATCTTCTGTATGTTTGGGCACAACTCCCTTGTGATTTTCAGTTCTCAATCATGTGGTTCTGGCTTCCTTTTCTCACTTTGGTGAGAAATTGTCCCCCAGCCCCTGATGCTTTTACCAGGATAACAGTAAAAAGAGAGGAGAACACCTAGAAATCCCAAGACACCTGTGCTGTCAGGAGCTCACAATTAAATAACTGTCCTTTTTCTCCGGCCCCCAATAAAATCTTCAGGCATGGTAAAATCTTTAGTATCATATAGCCAAGGTCTGTGAGAAGACATAGGAAACAAAGTCAGTTCCAATGAAATGACTGATCAGTCAAGTGGGCACAAAAAAGGAATGTCTGTGAGGAAAAATGATGAAGAAGTAAGCATCAGGTTGGAACACATCTCTTGGTTTGCTCAGAGGTGGGTGAACATCTGCTCTTTAGCCCAGTCCTGCACATCTGCACAGCCAAAGATGAGATAGAAGGCCAGGCCTGGTATGTTAATAGCAGCTGAAAGCAAGAAGACATTTCTCCAGCCAAACTCAGAGTCCTGGAGGCAGGAAATTACAAGTTCTTACCAGTTGCTCAATTCTTGGCCCTCTTGGTTCAGAAACAACTTTGGCTAGCAGTCCTACTGCTCCCCCCAGGCCACCCCCCCCAACATCTGCTCCAAGCTGTGTAGGCTTGCTGGCTGCTTCTGGAATATGCAGGATCATTTTGGCCATAAGGCCAGTGCTCTGACCAGCCCGTTGGCTAGAGTGTTCTCCCCCTTACATTCCCATCTGGCTCACTCTTTCACTTTCTTTCAGTCTTTACTTAAATGTTACCTTTTCGGTGCATCCACCCTTGACCATGCTATTAAAATTGAAATTCCACCTTATTTCATGTGCCCTATTCTCTTCTTTTCTTAGCATTTATCACCATTCAGTATATCATACATTTTAATTATTTCATCAGTTTTCCTTGGTTTCTTTCCTACAATATAGGTTTCACAAGTGAAGGAACTTTTGTTTTATTCACTTAAGCAGTGCATAGCCAATGCTGATGTTCAATACTTATTTACTGAATGGATCAAAGAATGACAGGATTTCCACTTTCAACAACCATTTTGTGACAATGTTAGTTGATGCCTGGAATAGATTCAAGGCTTCAAAAAAGAGAGAAGGGCCATGATTTCATAAAGAATACCTTTTCTTTGTTATTCTCCATCTGTTTCTCTTTCTTACTGGTGGAAAACAACAGTAAAGTTAAAGAATGATATGTATGTGAATGTCATACACAGCTCTCTTCATGTAAAGTCTGTATCAATAAGCTTCTTAGGAAATTCTCAAGTCTTCAAGTGAATTTGTTTATTCTTGGGGTACTTTAAATTCATCTTCTAGGCTACTATACAAATGAAAACATTATGTTTCCATAGGTTTCTCTTGTGAATATTTAGAGAACATTTTACTTCACCTGACTGATGAAAAATCCAGCAACTGTGGGAGAGATGGCTCCAGCTATGTGTGCAAAGACTTGCAATAACCCCTTGAGAAAGCCAGTGTACCTGGGAGAGAGAAAAAGAAAGGGGGGAACATCCCATACAAACAAATGGTTAATCTCAGTTGGTCTGTTACAACTCTGTGATTATCTCTGGGGATGCCTAGAATTGGTTAAACCTGAATAAATGCACTGACTAATGATTTGTATCATCCTGTGCTTGGATCTGAGACTTCCAAGGGGTAACCTGTACTAACTTGTCAACATTGTTGATGAGAAATATACACTTATGATTTACACCTGGTTTATAGGTTTCTTGCAGTTTTTCATTTATTTCTGCTATTAAATCTGATTCCATAGCTTTGTTGTTAGGTATAAAATACCCTTCTTTAGGTATAAAAGACCTCTCACTGTATGGAACTTTGGTTCCCCTAAAACCAAGGTATCTCCTAAGTATCTTGGTAGTTTATTATCTGAAGATGTAGCATGCCCTGTTGAGTGGGGCAGAACTCTGTGAGCTCCATTTAGAAGTCTCAGTAACTGAGGTAAATATTTCTCCTATAATGCTATGTACTTTGCCTTTATCAAAGCCTTACATGAGTATACCCTGTGGAGTCTCATGAATCCTTTTCAGTGATCCAACTCTGTGTAAGGGCTGCATTCCTCAGCAGAGAGAGATTTGTGGGAATCTGCCTCAGCTAAGCTGGAAGTGTGGTCACTGACTCTTCTTGTTCACACCTGAAAAAACTTAAGTTCACAATGGTTGGCCAGCTTTGGGTCTCTTCCAGGCATTACTTGGATATAGGGCTGGTGCTGACATTTCCTGGGACCTGTTATTGCACATGTCATATTTTACCTGTGTCAGAACAGGTTTATAACTGCTGGACCTGAACTGAGCTTCCATGAGCATGAGGCAAAGGTGTCCCTACCTAGGAGCAATATCCAAGAAATTGACAAGGGCTCCTGCTTCCAAGAAGCTGCTGGTGGCAGAGGACAATACCAAGAAGGTCATGGTCACGCTGTGGCTGGATCTGACCCAGGTCAGGGACACGAGGATTATGGATGGGAAGAGAACCCCTGGGATAGGAGGACAAACACAGAGTAAAGAGGAGGCTGCCCTGAGCATCCCACATTCACCCCTGTGTTCATCTCAGCCCTTACCAATGGCAGTGAAGAGTTTCCTGATGATGATGAGTCTGAGGATTTTTCTGGAGAGGAGAAAGTCTGCCAGTAGACCTCCAAGGATAATGCAGATACAGCCAACAGCAAACGGCAGGGCTGATAAAATCCCACTCTGGGGACCAGAGACCAGGTGAAGTGCATTATCCCCTCACCACCCCTGCCATGACTCAGATTGACCATAGACAGATTGCCCATATCTGTGGCTTTTCTATATAGACACATCACTTTCAATACAAATTTCATGTTAACAGAATGAGCCAATACAATTTTAGCACCAGGGGGAAATGTACATGTAGCTCAGTTTGCAAAAAAACAAAAATAAAACAATAAAACTAATCTTCTCTTTATGTATATAAACATCACCTGGAAATAAATACTAAAAAGACCAAAGTAAAAGTAGACAAAGGATATGAATTTACAGAAGAAAAGAAAAATAAGTTTCTCCTGAACACATTAAAGGTACTCAACCTCACTCATAATGGAAGAAATACAAAATAAAACTGCAGTCAGATACTGTTTTTCATGGATCAAATTGGCAGGGGCCCCAAAATTTTTGGACATGCTGTGTACTGACAATGTGGAGAATCAGATCCTCATAAATATTATCAGTGTTCTATGGAGGGCAATTTGACATACGTAACCAAAGTTTATAGTGAATTTACCCTTTAATGAACAAGATTTTCATGACAACATTACTCAAAGATTGGAAACAACCCAAATATTGCTCAGTAATGTTCTCATGTACTGATATGAAAAGACCCCCATGGTATATCAAGTGGAAAATATGTAGTATATAAAGCATACCAGCATATACAGAGTATATTTTGTGTTAAAAAAATGTGGGAAAATAAGAATATACATTCATCTATGCTTGCATTCTCATAAAGAAACAATGGAAGACTAAGGAAGAGTTAACCATGGAGTGAGCTAGGAGAACAGAGCATCTTAGGAACAGGAATGAGAGGTGTTTCATTCTACCTTTTTATATGGTTTTTTAAATGCCAAACCTTGTTATCAATTAAAATCTACAAAAGTAAAATTCTGTTAAAGAAAATGCAGTGAAATGGAGACCATCCATTTTTGTGTATAAGTCAAACAAAGAAAAGGATTAGCTCTTACCTGGTTCAACAGGTTCATTTTATGGACAAGTAAAACCAAGGCCATCAAGCTTCTGTGACAGTGAGAAAATAACCAGAGAACAACACGAGTCTGGGTCTCCTGACTTCTCAACTTAAGATCTGTTCTCTGGTCACAAGTTGTCTTACCATTCCTTTTCCCCTCCTCCTGCTCCTCATCCTTGTCTAGGTAGGGAGCCAACCTTATGCCAGAGAGAAATCATTCCCAGTAGCCTGCCTCAGGATGTCTATTGCTCAGCACCGGCCTGCTGCTTCTCTGGCCCTTCTGTTTTCTGATTCCCTGGCTTGAGGTACTAGTTTCACTGCCTGCTTCTGGCTCCCCCCCCCCCGAGAAAAACTGCTCCTTCCTAGAGTTTTCTGATCTCAGTGCCTCATATCCAGCCTGATTCCCTGCATGCTTCTCAGACCACTGCTAAGAAGGTCAGCTTTCTGTCGGCCACATTGCAAGTTTTTGCCAGAGAAGTCCAAGGCTATTGTTTGAGCACAAAAGATGAAAGTATAATGGTACCTCCTTGTGAATTGACACAGTTATGACATCTGATACACTTCTAGCTGCTTTTAAGACACCCATCTAACAGGAATAGAAAAGCTCCTGTGAACTTCCCATTCATTTTGTGAAAATTCAGAGAGCTTAACACATATGTGCATTTTTCTCTGTATATGTTATGCTAGAATAAATGCTTTTTAAAACCAATTTTTATGTAAGTCTTATTTGGGACTTTATGTCCTATCTGTCTTATTTTCAACACATGTTGTTTATGTTTCTCTGTCACAATTTTCTCCAAGGCAGAATCTGCTTTATTAAACATGACAGAAGAGTGTCTTGTCTGCAAATGTTGATGGAACTGAGTATAAAAGTTTTGTGATGTCCCTTAAAAATACAGCATTCTATGAGTATCAAGCTGACCTAGAATCATGCTACCCTGTTCTAATGAGTAGTAAACCACATTAGATTAATTAGCATCCAAGTTAACCAAGTTGCCATTTCCTACTTAGAGGTCCTGGGTCTCTGATTTTGTAACCATGAGAGAAATAGTAAATTATATAATGAAATATTTAAACAAAAGAACAGAATAAGCTTTCTCTGTACTTACATCTGTGAGGTTGACTTCAAGTACAGAGCTGATGTATGTTGGTGTGTACGCCATTATGGTATAAAAAAGCCAGTATGCACAGAAATAAGAGACTAAAATGGCCCAAAGTGGTAAAGATTTGATCATAGCCTTAATGGGAAGAGACCAGCCTGGAGAACAATCCTGGAAGAAAGCATATATCAATAATCTCTTTCACCAGAAGATAGGAACTCCCTCTACTGTGCTCTTCACCTCTGAGACATCAAGTAGGGAAGGAGCAGGAGACCTCTCGATGTACCTGTTGAGCCAGTGAACACATGATGTATGTCTTCTCACCAGTGCTAATAAAAGGATGATTCATGGGGTCATCATAAATGAAAGGAAACCAGAGAAGACAACAGGCACAACCAATTCCACCTAGGGAAAGAGGATCCAGTTAGCACTGGATTGAAGTTTAACTCTGCCCTGAGATGATTCCTATGGTTGAGAGAATGACTGGCCCCAATATTCTACCCTTCCGTTCATCTGCCCTTGCATGGCCTCATTGTGGATGGAGGGTACTTTTCACCACTCGACTTTGGGCATGGCATAAGGCACTTCCAAGCCTAGACATTAAGAAGCACTGCAGTTTTTTACTTGTTCTCTTGGCTCTTGGCCATTGCCATGGGAAAAGTGAACATGCCCCAACTAATCCATTGTCCAAGGCAAATGACAGACACAGAGCAAAGCCACCTAGCTGTCCCACAGAACTATGAGAATCAGTGATGAAACCACTGAGTTTTGGGAGGTTTTGAAATGTACTATTTTTAAAGCTGTAGCACATTGTTACAAGTTCTCAGTGTGTTTATCCTGTGTACTTGAAAATGCCCTCACTGTTCAAGTACTAGTCATCATCCCTACTGCTAGTCATGCTTTGCGAAGTTCCTTTTATCACACAACCTTTCCATATCTATCTCTTATCTCTCTCAAAGCACTTAAGAGCTAGAAGTGGCATATGATTATGTGCAATTGATTCCCCAATTTCTAGACATGAAATGAAATTAATCCTCAGCAAAGTTCTCTAATATTACATTATTACAAAGTTAGGAACTCAACTGTACTCAGCATTGAGTGAAAATACGGCTCATCCCCAATTTCCCTCTTTATAATCTTAAGAAATTCTTAAGAGTTCTTTTCATTTGGCTAGCTTATCATTTATGCATTTGTTCACAAATATCATGTAGCAGCTACCATATGCCATGAATTTGCTAAATTTTGAGAATATAAAAATAAAAGACATGATTTTGCCATTAAGAGACTTACTCAAGTAAAGAAGGAGGGATATGAAAATTAGCAGTGTTGCACATTGGAGTTGAAGATGTTAATATTGATTCAACAAATATTTAGTGAGTTTCTACTTTGTATATGCTCCTTATTGTTTCTCAAAATCCATGAGTACAGTAATCTCATTGTTTACATAATTTTTATAACCTGTCCTTTTGACATTTCCATGACAGAACCAAAAGTTGGTGTGCTACAGTAGGCAATCATCACAATTTTTTCTTTCTTTTTGGACAAGATATTAGTATACTGGTGTCTTAAATTGCATTATGGAAATATTTTCTGGTGAATATATTGACCTGATAATACAGGAACCCTTTTTCTAAGAGAACGATTCTTTAACAAAAACATTAGTAGAATTTATCCTACAGTATCAGGAAATTTTCAGATGGGGTATTAGAAAAGCTTTTAAAAATCAAGCAAACATAAACATTAGCTGACAGCAGCAGGGTAGAGCACCACAAAGGTACAAAGGTGAAGTAGTAAAATATTGCCTCTCAAGCATTCCTTGTGCCTGTGGAGCTTTTCTGCACCATCTCTGTGTATATTAAGTCTATTCCTGAACCTCACATGGTCTGCTCTGTTCTGCAAACTCTACTGATTGATTCTCTACTCTAATCAGTATTTTATCTATGATCACATAATTTTCTGGTTGTTTCAATAACAGGAAAAATGTAAAAGAGTGTATGAAATAAATAAGCATAACTAAAAATATAGCCCCATCAAAATAATATTTTCAACATCTTATGAAAGAAATTGCTCTAGAGTCCTTTGAGTTCAATTTAGAAGCAGGGAGGAATGTTATGATTCTTTTAAAGTCATAAAGCAATTCTACTCAAGCTACTAAAACTTAAATATTGTTTTTACAACATGCAAGACTCACAACATTGTTAGCTCTGTACATTATCGACTTTAGTTTTCTAAGTGTCCGTGTCTGTTAGGATTTGGTTAACTGTAAATAAGTTGCATCAGAGAAATCATACCCAGCATTCTCTGTCATAAAATAAAATTGTGAGATTTGAAAAACACAAACTCACCAAAGATATAGAAGACATAAGGCCATCCTATGGTCTGGCAGAGGAGACCACCAACAAGGAGAATGATGAAAGACCCAAGCATTGACCCTGAACAGAAGAGGCAAGGATGTTCTGGGTGAGAAGGTCAGTCTTGGGATTTTGTGTGCTTTCTACAAAGCTGAGTTGCACAGTGATCTTCAAACAAAGCTATCTAGGTTCAAATCCTGCTCCTTCATTCAGTAGCTGTACAGTTTGAACAAGGTATTAGTATAGTTGTTTCTTAAATTCCATTATGGAAATAATTATAAGTAGATGACTTAAGAAATTGTTTTGAGGTTAAAATGAAGTTAGTATGTACTAAATATAAGAATGTTTGATACATAGAAAGCATATAGTTGTGATCAAGAAAGTCAGTATACTATAGTGATTTATAGCAAGGACCATGAAGACAGAATAACTACAGTGTAAGGTATTGGTTCTATTGATAGGCCTTAGCTGAGTACTCGCTGGCAGTATGTATAAGGTGAGTATTAGAATATTAATTACCTGAACCAGCAATGGTGGTGAGTTGACTCTTTTCCAGTGGGGGAGCCCATTTGACCCAAATTGAATACTGACCTGTTAATACCATAACCTGAGAAAAAAAAATAATTCTTGGACAGCTGAGGTCATTGTGAAACCTATATTCTGCTTATAGTTGGAAAATATCTTGGTACCTGGGCTATACCTTGGACAACCCGAAGGACAATAAGCAAGGTCACTCCAACATCTGCTGCCAGTGGAATGAAGAGGGTCAGGACTGAGGAAATAAACAAGCCAGCACCAACCACGTACTTGGTTCCAAATATTCCAGCCACGTAGCCAGTGGGAATTGGAGCCAAGAATGAGCCATAGTTGAGGGAGCTGAGGATGATTCCCTGAATTTCAGGATTCCAGTCATACACAGGGGCCTAGATGACAAAGAAATTCTCACTGTTTTGTCAGAAAGTTGAAAGTTTTTATTGTGAGGACTTGAAAGGAAAAAATAATTGGCAGTTCTCTTTCCTTTTGCCTCTTAAATTCCTCTAACATTCCGATTTCATTTTTAAAATGCTAAATACATGCCAAACACTCTTTCCCCTCCCCTGACACAATTAACTGACTAATTAAAACATAAGACAGCCCGTAAAGAAAGAAAGCATCTTTATTTTTTTTTTTTTTTTGCCATTAGAAAGAAAGCATCTTAGGCAAAGTAATAAAAATACATGTAGATGGAAGGAGAAGAAAGTAGATTTAAGTATGTGAAACAAATTGTATAGTGATTTTCATCACTGTGAGAGAACAATGTATGTTCACTGAATAGCAAAATGTGCTTTTCTTCATTCTAACTTGGTCCCTGGTTACACTCACAGACACTTAAGTAGAACTACAATCTCTTTAGGTACACATTATGGTTTTGTAGTATTCCTGGCACGTAGTACATGCCCAATAACCCTTTCAGTCAGACCATTTGAGTGAAAGAAAGGGTTCAGTCTCATTAAACTTACCACTGCCTTAAATTCCTTTAAAGTTTCATTCCAGTAGTGCTGGGAGTCAGTGGAGGGCCCTTCTATGGAGGCATTGGGCTGGAAGGGTGGGTTTGTGTTGTTCACCATAGCTGGGATGGTAATGCTCAAGTTCATTTGTTGGGTGCAAATTGAAAAATTACAAAGCTGCAAGATGAAGGCCATCCCATGGCGGAATGAACAAAAGCCTGAGAGGAGAAGGGTACAAAAAAATCTTAAAATCATGGGAGGAGGGAGGGTATTTGGGGGGACCACACCTGATGTGCATGATGCAATGGTACATTTCAAAACTATTAAGAAATGAACATAGTTGTAATGGATGTGTTACTTAGTTCAATGTAAGCATTTCACATTGTATATCAAAGCAGTACACTGAACCCCATAAATGCATCAGTGTACATAGTTATGATTTAATAAAAAATAATAATAAAAGTCTCAAGGGTGGCGCCTGTGGCTCAAAGGAGTAGGGCACCGGCCCCATATGCTGGAGGTGGTGGGTTCAAACCCAGCCCTGGTCAAAAAAAGAAAAAAAGTCTTAAAATCAGAATGTTTTTCTCCCTAAGTCTCTAAGAGGGAGAAGATTGGTGTCTGTGTGCAACACAAAAAAATAGAGAGAGTAGATATTGCTCTTTAGGTGTCTAATGGACTTCTGTCCCCCAAGAAGGTAAGGTGACTCCCTCAGAAGCATTGCCAAGAGACTTGAAGAATGTGCAGAGCTGATCAGAGCAAGAATTAGGGAAGAGCTTTTCAAGCAGGAGCCCTGGGATAAGCAGATAAGAGTGAGAATGAAAAGACGTGGATTTAGAGAAAGAATTGGCTGTAAGTACTGATTGAATATGAATGGTGAGAAGAAATTGTGGAAATGGACTCCCAATTGCCCTGCTTGGGCAGCTGATATAGCTCAAAATACCATTTATGAATGGGGAACATGGAAGATAACCTTTTGGGGATCCAGAGGAGGGGAGAGGTAACTCTAAAGATAAATGCTAGGGTTAGATTATGGAAGTATTTAAACTTCATATTAGTACTGTAATTTGTGCTTACACAAAATTTGCCAGTGTTTCATAGGCATCCTGGGACTATCCCTGTGGTTGAGTGCCAATACATGAGTTTGACAACACCTGTAATGGTTAATAGACTAAATCTGTAGAGAGAGAGAAGTAATATGTGATCACTGCCTCAAGGTATGTTGGTGCCCTGATTCCTGACTCCTAAAAGTGAGCCAAGCTATTGGAGCAATCAGCACAATTTCCTTTTGTGTAGGGATGTTCTTGCTAAGTTCCAGGAACTGACAGATCCTCATATTTCATTTAACTATGGGAACATTTAGTCAAAACCCTGTTTGCCCCCACACCATCTATAAAAATTTACATTAGAATTTGATCAATGTCATATTGATGTGACAGATTAAGAAGGATTGCCACATTCATAATACTGTCTTCCTTGCCTCAAAGGGATGCCTACCCACGTACAAGTATTCAAGTCTTTTACTCTGCCCCAAAGTAGAATTTTATAATTGTTTTCAGTTAAGGCCCAAACAAGTTTTGTAAAGTACTTTTTATTGTTTCTGTAACTAAATTATTTTCCTATCATTTTCATCAAGGTTTCCTCCCTCTTCACATTACAGCATGTGCTTATTATGCTATAGCTATTATAAAGAACTATTATTTTTCATAAGTGTTCTTATTGATTTCTCTTTTATCAAACACATTCCTTTTTTCCTGTCCTTTGTGCTAATGTATTTACATAGGTCCCTTGTGGTACACCTCTATATAGCCTTGGATGATAAGGCCAATCCTGCTTGACTTGTTCTCATGCGTTGAAACTCTTTCCTATTAAACTCTTTTTTTCTGGATATACCTAGACTTGCTTCTGTTTTTCTGATATAACCCAGACTAATATAGAAGGTCATGGATCTCTGGTGGATAGGAAGATCAGTGATCAAAGTGGTGTCTGTCTCCACCCCAGCCCCACAAGTCCTTAATTGAGCCTAATAAGGACCATCTTCTAACAGAACCTGAGGACCCAGCTTTGTTTACTCAGAGTCTCTGGAGACGTAGAAGCTTAATTAGTTCTGTTGTGTAACCAGGTGACCAGATGTGACATATAATGGGGAGGGAGCATTTTTCCTCACCTCATGGAACCTGGATTTGGTTCTCCGAGTGTCTTGGAAGTACAGCAGCACCCAGAAAAAACATTAGTAGCCTTCAAGGGCACTGGCAAACAGAGAAATTCCTGGGACTGTGATACAGAGGAACTGAGCATGGGCCAGACAGAGAGCCGAGAGGAAAGCTGATGTTTGATACCAACTGATGAAGTCATCATCAAGTATTATTCCTAAACACTGTGAGAAATACTTGGAAATGAAAAAAGATAACAATGTGGTAAGACTGAGGAGTAGCTGGAGTTCTGCCTTTCCAAGTGGGAAGGAACTTTACAAAAAAAGGATGAATGTTATTAATATGATACCATTTGTAACAACAGGCTGGAGTTATAGAGAAATTGCCTGATACAGTTGTAGCTTCAGGAACAGTCACCAGAGGACTGAGCAGCTCGGTGGGACAGATGTTTTAGAAGACTATGGAAGAAACTGGAAAGACCACATGTGAGTCCTACTTTAGATGAACTATAAATTAATATTCTTTCCAATGACTGCCAATAAATGAGCTGAGGAGGGGACCTTGTGGGAGGAGTAATAACAACAGCTAATGTTCACATGGCATTTACCGTATGTAAGGTGTTGTTCTAAGTATTTATATTTTAACTAATTTTTTTTTTTTGAGACGGAGCCTCAAGCTATCCCCCTGGGTAGAGTGCCATGGCATCATGCTCACAGCAACCTCCAACTCCTGGGCTCAAGCGAGTCTCCTGCCTCAGCCTCCCAAGTAGCTGGGACTACAAGCACCTGCCACAATGCCCGGCCATTTTTTGGTTGCAGCCATCATTGTTGTTTGGCGGGCCCGGGCTGGGGATTCGAACCCACCACCTTAGGTGTATGTGGCTGGCGCCTTAGCCACTTGAGCCACAGGCGCCGAGCCAACTAATTTAATCCTTGTGTTAATCCTGTGAGTTAGCTACTGTTCATATCATCCTTTTACAAATGGTGGACGTGAGATATAGGTAAACTTGTCTAAGGTTATGGCACTTATAAAAAGTGGAATCAGGATTGCAAACTCAGTTTGCCTCTTAACCTGTGCTTTTACCTGATATGCCGTACTGCACTTTGGTAAGATTTTATACATAAGTTCTTCATTTCACTGATTTTGAGGTAGAGTAAGAAGGCTAGGATTGGAGAATGTTATGTACAATAGACTATAAAATACTTGGAGATGTATGAGACCATTAGCCAAGACTACTGGAATGGTATTCATTCTGGGTCCAATGGTGGTCAATTATAGGATGAGTATTAATGAGCATATCTCCTGATTTCGTCTTTGGTAGATGAAATTAGAAGAACCCTCTTTCATTGATAACATAAACTAGCTATAATGTTGAATATTACAAAGCTTTCCATCTTGACTAGTGTTTTGCTTTTTAAAGGCATTATCTGATGAAAACCCTATACTCTTAAGATAATTAGTAAATAACATAAGTTATTAAGTGTTTAGAGAAAAATAAGGTGTTACACAGTTTTCTTTAAGGGATACTATAGAAAAGTACAAAGTTGCCATGTAGGCAAAAGGAAGGAGAAAAGGTGACTTTTCTGACATGGTAGAAAGGAAAAGCCCACTCTTTTTGAGGCAGATTTGGGTTTAACATAAGCAGAGAGATCTAATGGGACACACCTGGGACTTAAAATCAGCAAGCCAGGCTTCCTACTTAGAATCTACTGTGAATTTTTTCCTTCATCTCTTAATAATATCATGATACCTACCGGTCCTATATACCTTCAAGGTTTCTTACGAGAATTGAAACAATTATTAGTAAAAAATGTTCTACAACATACATAGAATTCTTGGTAATTAGTGAAAAGAAATGCTGTATATCAAAAAAAAAGGAAGTCAAGGTGATATAGATCCTAGGTTTATCCACATCCAGATTCCTGTGCATGACTTTACCTCTCCTGGCGAATTGCTGCCGAGCCGCATTTAAATTGTTGTCATTGGAAATGTCTCCCACTGTGGCCTTGGTATCTACTCCAGTAGACATTTTGGTTTTGTCCTCCTAGGGACTGGTATTCACCTACTTAAATAAGAGAACAAAAAGCAGATACAAAGAAAATCTTACATGACATTGTCATGATTCTTCTAAGAATTAGGAGAAAATGTTGCTTAGTGGGAAAAGTGATAGATTAGGGTTCAGGAAACCTAATTTGTCATCCTGATTCTATCACTAACCAATTGCCTAGCCTTGGACAGTTTACACTTACCAGAGGAGGGGTCCTAGTATTTGCTTCTCTAAAACGAAGGACTTGGCCAGATTGCCTTGATAAAGTGTAAGAATCGTTCTAGTTCTGCATTCCCACATCTCTAAACTGAGGTTAGTATCAACTGAACATTAAAACTTGACCACCTTATTTGAATTTCATCTGGAAATTTTTTAGTGGATTGATTTACCTGAAAAACTGTCTATTACAAACACCTAGATATATTAGATAAAATATAGCAAACATCCTTTTAAATACATAGCTCCAAAGATAGTAAGAGATATCTTCATTGGATGTAATGAAAGTTAGAGGTATTTACTAACTCCAGTGACCAGAAGATTAGGGTAGAGTAGAGGCATCTATGTTAGTGATGTAAGGGGCTTGACATCTACAGTGCTGGGGGAGGGGGAGTTGAAGGATGAAGCCTTAGGCCCATGCCAGGAAGGGGATTATAAAGAACATCCTATTATGAAGCCAAAAACCTTGAAGGAGTTCAAAATTTAGTTAAAAGGGGCTCTACCTATTGCAACCTTAAGGCAGTGACAGTGCTCTGCATTGTCCTGAGTTCTGGTTTGAAAATAAAATACCTCTGAAAATTCTGAAAATTTATAACTATGTTATAGAGTTGAAGATTGGGATTTATACTGTCTGCATTGTCTGAGAACACATCCCAACTGAAAAACTGATTGAAGAATTGGATCCAGGCTGATTTCCTCAACACATATCACATGGAATTACTACAGATGAGGTACTACTAAATATCAACTCAAAATCCAAAGTTGTAAACATTCGGAGAAGTGATCCATCCAAAGCAAATTCTCAGATTCAAAGGTGAGGAACTTCCAAAGTTAGAATAAATTGATAAAGATAATATGTAAGAATGAAGAATATTCTTCATTCTTAAAATAATTGAAGAAAGGGTTGGCAACTATGGCTCAAAAGAGCAGGGCACTAGCCCCATATACTAGAGGTGGCAGGTTCAAACCCAGCCCCAGCCAAAAACTGCAAAAAAAAATAAAAAACATAATAATAATAATAATTAAAGAAATATAATATGGCATCTAAAACATAAGAAGTTACCAAAAGAACAAGCAGATTTAAGAAAGGGACTACTTGAAATATCAAAAAAAAAAAAAACCAATTTAAGCATTTAATTTCAAAACTAAGTGACTAGACATAGCTAATTAAAAAATTAATGAAATGGTAGAGCTATGTAAATTATTCAGAATAAAAAGCTCAGTAGACAATGAGGTATCATAGCAAAGGGATTAAAAAAAGTCCAATGTACATTAAATAAAAGGAGAAAATAAAGAGAGTTGAGGAAAGACAATACTTTAAGAAATAATAAATAAGAATTCTTCATAAGAGGTGAAACACAAGATTTTTCAGATTCAGGAATAATAATGATTCTCAACCTGGAGAAACAAAATTAAATCATAAGGAGACTACAGGATACAAGAAGCACAAAACTTATTTGTAATAATAGATACCATAAAAGATCACTAATAGAGGGGAGACATTACACATGATATCATATTAGGAATGACATTTTCTTAACTTTGTCAAGATTATTTTAAAAAGACAAAATACAGAAAATATTTTAAAAGATTGTTATTACTAAGTTTAGGCAAAAGTATGGAAAAATAAGCTATGGTTTATGATGAAGGAATGAAGAATATGCCATTTCAAAATATGCCAGATTGGTATATTGATTATTTCAAGTTGAAAACATTGGAAAATTTTTAGTTTCAGAAAAGGTAGGCTGCATGTAAAAACTGATTAAAGATTTGTTTGGGAGGAATATCCTCTCCAAGCCAGGGCAAGAAAATAGCCTTTATCATTATAAGCTTGAAACTGGAGACTTAAATAGACATGAATAAATATACTTTTTTTAAGAGTCAAAGTATCACTCTATCACTCAGCCTAAGAGTGCAGTGGCCCCATCACTGTAACTTTGAACTCCTAGGTTCAAGTGATCCTCCTGCCTCAGCCTCCCCTGTAGCGAGGACTACAGGCGTGTGCATGCTCCCACCTCAGACTCCCAAAGTGCTAAAAGCAGTGTGTATGTGTGTCAGGGTGAGAATGTTTGTGTGTGTGACTAGATGTTACAGTGGGACTCTTCTGACTTCAACTTGACTGAATACATACTATTTTGAGAACAGGCATGAGCCACCATGCCCAGCCTGAATATACACACTTTATCTTTCACCTGTTTTATAGCCCCCTGTTTTATATTTCCTAGTGACTCCCCCAGAAAATGTACTGTCCCTAGCCACGCTTTCTTTGTCTTGTCATTTCTTCTCAAATTTATCATTCTTTGACTACAAAGTTCAAGAGCATCTTGCTTTAGCCACTTCTTCAGACTTCACTCTCTTGTGAAGAAACTCAGGTACAGGTAAAACTAATAAAATGTATATGCTTTTTCTCTTGCTAATCTACCTGATGTCAATTTGGTTTCTAGCTCCAGCTAGAAAGCCTACTGAGGACTAACAGGGGTTGGAGGTGATCTCTGGCTCCCCTACCTCAAGAGTCAAACTGCCTATCCCTCTTGGTATTCCTGCTTCTTGGTGTGTAGCAAAGATGAATGGACAAAGCCACACCGAAGAGTATGTCCCAGGATATTGCTCATAGCACTATCTGTAAAAGTAAAAAGCCAGAAGCTAACTAATGATTATTGCTATTTGTATCAAGTGCATGTATTTTCTGGAATATTATACAGCCATCAAAGGAATTGCATTTGTATATAAAAACATCTAAGTATTTTAAAAATATATTAGATAAGAAAAGCAAATTGTAGAACAGTAAGTATAACATAATTAAATAAGGCAAACATACATACTGACATATTACGTATACATGTTTATAAATGAGTAAAAATTATGACAAGAAAAATTACGACAATAACACAGGAACAGCTATCATCTACCTTGTCCTGAGTTCTGCTTTTAAAATTAAGATATATTACTCTGACAATCTTGGCCATCTCTGCAGAAGGGAATGAAGAGGGCAGGGCTGTAACTTTGTCTTTGTGAATTTTTACCATGATTAAAAATAAACTTAAAACAACAGCTTGGCTCAGCGCCTGTGGCTCAACCAGCTGAGGCGCCAGCCACATACACTTGAGCTGGTGGGTTCGAGTCCAGCTCGGACCCACCAAACAACAACGATGGCTGCAACCAAAAATTAGCCAGGCATTGTGGTGGGCGCCTGTGGTCCCAGCTGCTTGGGAGGCTGAGGCAGGAGACTCGCTTGAGCCCAGGAGTTAGAGGTTGCTGTGAGCTGTGATGCCATGGCACTCTACCTAGGGCAACAGCTTGAGGCTCTGTCTCCAAAAAAAAAAAAAAAAAAAAAAAAAAACAGCTTGAGTCCAGGTGTTCAACATTACAGTAAACTGTCATGCCACTGCACTCTAGCCTGGGTGACACTGTCACTTAAAAAAAAAAAACCAGAAAAAGAAAAAAAACTGTCACAAAATCTGTAATCACAATCTATGAAATGTGGAAATCTTTGGTTCTGACTGACATCCTTGGAAGCAGTGTGTATGTGTGTAGGGGTGTGTATTTGTGTTTGTGTGTGTGAGTAGATGTTACAGTGGGACTCTTCTGACTTCAATTTGACAGAGGCACCATTTTCATAATAGTGGGCAAGACCACCATGTAGGACCTAAGGAGGAGGCTGTTGAGGCCACCTCAAGGGCACAAACAGGCTGAGATGAAGAAGCTGAAAGAGAATTGCTTTAGAGAAAGCTGCTGGTATTGTCCATCACATCTTCCCCTGACTCCATGAAAGAGGGCCCTCACTTCAAGTCACATGATAAGAGCTGCTCTTAAGGGGTTCATTTAAAGAGTTTGTTGTATGTCACCTAGAGGTTTGAGGGGCACATTCACACACATGTACATGTGAAGAGGACTAGTGAGTGACACATGCCTCAGAATCTAAGGACATGAGGTGGTGACTAATGGTCCAAGGCTGCAAAGCACAGGAAAAGTCCACACCACACTGGGAAGTTTTGACACCTCCCATAGCAAGAGGTGCAGCAGAGACCTACCAGTCTCGTGTACCAGTTGTACATGATTCAGGAGAGACCCAGTTGACAGCTTTTTAAAAATCCTGCCAAAGAGAACTGTCTGGAGAGCCCACATAACCCCAAAGAGGAGGTGGACTGCATGACTCCCAATGGCTGAAGGAGAAAGCATAGGGGCCACAAGTCGGTGGACACAAATCACCCACGACATGGAAGGTGCTGATATACCTAGTGGGGTCCTCTAAAGGACCCAGCATCAAACATGAGCACCAGCGCCAGGTTCCAACCAAGGAAAGACACTGCTTCTTATCATCCTTCATCTCCCTAATCACTATCCCTGGAAGGACCAGAAGCACAGCTGACAAGAGGGTTGAGAGGAGGAGCTGGCAGAGAAAGGGAACAAGAAGCCAAATCAAGTGAGCCCTCCTCAGGCCCAGGCCCAGGCTGGAGGAGGAAAGAAGCTTTACTTTAGGATGAAGTTTGGAGTCTTGTGCTGGTTGAACTGGACCTACTAATCTCAAAATAAGATTATTCAAAGGCTGAAAATACCCAGTGTACTTTTGACTATGGGAAAATGATCAGAGAAGTTATGGGGCCAGCAGACGTAGAGGGATAAGGGTGGGACAATAGTTGCCCTTGAAGTGGAGTCATTTTCTACTTGATGTTTGTAGAGTTCTTCTATTAATAGAAAAATCATACGTATGTGGTCTTTTCTTGATACCATGTTGAACTGCAAGTGGAAATGCTAGATAATGCCTATGCAAGTCACTGAAGTGAGTAAGTGAGCAACTAACAGATGAGCTGTCTCCTTTACATCCTTCAAAAACAGAATGATCATGGATCCCTGCAGTCTGCACTGGAATTCAAAATCGAACTCAAAATTGAAGTGAAATCCAAACTAATACACATTGGCAAAATAGAGTGTTTTGGGTAACACTGAGAAGAAACTTGGTAAAATGGAAGGACTGAATAACCTGATGTAGAAATAATTTGCTTATCATATCTATCCACATCTTAAGGCAATTAGTTGAATTGGAGAAATTAGATCTTCACAAAATTTAAAGCTTACCTTTCAGGGTAACATTTTTTCCCACAGAGACTCTTTTAGTGCCTAAGAGTTCACTGACCACTCGTTCATTCATTGATTCAGCAAACATTTCTTGAGTCAACAAATAGAATGTTCTGCTTTCACAGCTCTTTCTCCTGCGTGAGTGAAGGACTTAGCTCTCATTAAATTGCCCCCTCCCTATACGTGTTATAACAGAAACACTTGCCAGTTTTCTGATAACCAGCATTCCTGGAGTCAATGAGAGCAATGGAAGCAGACAGCAGAAGGTGAAATCAGGACACAGCTGTTGTAGGACAAGGAGGTAGACATGGGCGTATGCCCTCATGAAAGTCACATCCCAGCAGAGAATATGACAGGAAATAAAAAAGAGTAACATTTGCTATGAAGAAAACAAGAGAGTAGCTATGACAACAACTTAAGTCATTAGCATCCAGAGAGGAAGGCAAACATTCTGCCTAGTCTAACTACTTTACCTAGTCTGTCCTACAAAATGGTCGCATTTGAACTGAAACAGGAGTGATGAGAAGAAGGCAGAGCTGGCCAAGGGCATTCCAGGCAAAGGAACCAGAAAGGCTGTCATGTTTTTTTGAGGTAGAAAGTAGTCCACCATGGCAGTGCAGAGTGAGTGAGGAGGGTAATGGTAGGAGAGGAGATCAAATAGTGGGCAGAGGCCACTATGTCAGGTCCTATAGGCCTGGTGAGGAGACTGGATTTACTTTGGCTTCTGTGTGGTACATGGCCTGGAAGAGACAAGACAGGGAACCAGGAGACTCACAAAGAAACTGTTGTCTTTACCTGTGCAAGTGATGGTGTGGCTGGGCAATACAGGCTATGGTGAAAAAGACCAGATTCAGCGCCTGTTTTGGACATAACTGATAAGACTTCTACAGAGTTGGATATGGGGATGAGAGAGAGGAGGAAATTGTCAGAAACTTCTAGACTTACAGTTTGAGCAGATGAGTGAATGCTGTTGCATTCAGTGAAGTAGGGGAAACAGGTGGGGAGGGAGCAGGTTCCAGAGGAAAAGCAAGAGTTCTGCTTTGTTTGGGTTGAGATGTTTGTTAAACCCAGAAGGGAATATTGCCAGATAGGCTTTGTATCCGGGAGTCTATAGCTTAGAATAGAGGGCCTTGATAGAAATATAAATTTGGAAGTCATCAGCCTTATCTATTTATCTTGAGATCAGGTAAATGAGGAAGAACCAGCAAAGAAATCTGGCCATCATCCTTATATCAGTTTCCCATCAGTTTTTCTTGTCAAGATTCTTTGTGTCTGTTCCCTTTGGATTAACATATACCTAGTCTAACTCTGCTAGTCACCAGTTCACTGTAGAATGAGACTGTTCCTTAAGGTGTGGGGCAGAGCTATTAATAGCTCACATGCCATCTCTTATCTGGTCTTGACGCTGAACATTTCCTTCTTATGAGAAGCAGCCCATGGCTCTTATTCACAACCCTCAAGTAAAATTCCTCGGCCCAAAACTTTTCACTTATTACCTACTTTCCAAAACCACATGGGATTTCATTTGTTTTGCTTTTCCCCTTTACATAAATTCATTGGAAGGGTCTGGTCTGTTTTGATTTAGGTGATCTTCCAGGTCTGATAAAAATCTTCCTCGGTGAGAATTTAGCATTTGCATTTACTGTCTCACCATAGATTTGATCTATGCTTTTAAAAAAATTAATTTATCCCACAAAACAACTTCAATATATACATCTTATGAAACAGATCTTCGAGTTTCAATATGTAGAAGATGTTAACCCTTATAGGTATAATTTAAAATTGCTGCTTCACCTCCAGATGTTTAAATGACTCTCTCTCTCTTTCTATCTCTATCTCTATCTCTATCTCTCTCCCTCCCTCTCCAGCTATACTTTTGAAGAATTTTATCCCTTGGAGTTTATATTCCAGAATTCCAGGGCTCTTGTTTCTTTTAGGAAAAGGCAACATATTCTCTTACTTTTCAGACTTATCCCAGGAAAGGGGCATTCTCCTCCCCATCCTCTCTCTTTACCTGAAAACAGAAAAGTAAGCTGCTCTCTAAGAGGAAAAGACCCATTCCCATTATCTCAAAGTAGAATATTAAGGGCAAAAGTTTTAAAGCTAACCTGAGGGAGGTAGAGTGCAGGATCCTCATTCCTTTCAAATAAATTTCTCTCTGATTTTTGCAAATGTCTAATCCCTGGGAGGTAAATGATTACCCAAAACCTTTAGCCCTTATATTACCAAAGGGGAGGATTTTATTGTCTCAGTGATTTAATTTTTAACTTTACTTTGATTACCCAACGGATAAGCAGATCAAACTCATTAAATCCTCCTCACTCTTCAAACCCAGCTGAGATCACTTACATCTTCCCTCAGCCTCTGCTCAGTGATCCTTCTTATAAGGATCCTGACAGCCTGAAAGCTGCTTTTACAGCCTTGTCATCTTCTGAGGTCTCTCAATGTTAATATAATCTTCCTAGGGATGGGACTATGTCTTATCCCCTTTGAGTTCCTTTTCCAACTTCCCCTAAGAACTGAGCCTGCCACGGAGGACTTAAAACATTTTGGTTGACTTGGGCGATTTTTGTAGTTTTCTGATTATAACTCTTTGTACCAAGGCCATTGAGATTTCTGGGAAAATTAACACTCTGAAATTCTGTTCCCTTTCATAGCAAAACATATCAGAAGACTCATAGCAACTTGTATTCTGTTTCCTCATCTCCAATTTTCTCATGAACCCAATAGCAACCAGACAGCCCATGGTAAAGCCGTCACCAGCCTCTGTGCTGGCACACCCAGTGGTCATTTCCCAGGCCTTATCTGTCAGCGACAGATTTTATCACTCGCTCCTTCTTGATGGCTTGTTCCATTTGGCTCACTCGGGCCAGATTTTTCTTTTGCTTTATTGGCTGCTCCTTCTCAGTGCTTGTTGCTGAATCCTGATTTCTAATGTTACCCAGGACTCTGTCCTCAAATTTCTTCCCTATCTAAACTCCATCCTAAGTAGATCGCAGCCAATCTTTTCTTTTCTTACTTGTTCTGACTTTTTCTCTGAGCTTCAACCTTCAGCTGCCCTCATCTTTCCTTGAGTACCCACTGTTATCTCAGTCTTCACAGGGCCACAGGCAGAACTCGTGAATCTCCCTTCCTCCCATCCCTTCTTCAGGCTCCCTCATCTTGGTTAATGGCATCACCATTTCCTCAGTTGTTTTGCCCAAAGCAGTCAGCCTTGGTTCTAGACTTCCCCTCAATGTTCATTCCACAAGCATGTTCTGTCAGTGCTACCTTCAAACTTTTCCCACAGACTATTATTTTTCGTTTCCTCTGGTCCTGTCACGATCATCTGTCACCATGGTAAATAGAGTGATTATTCACTTGGCTCCACCGTTTTTTCTCTTTCAGTTCATCTCCACATATGGGCGGTGTTTGAAATGTAAATATGATCATGTTACTTGCTCATTTAAAAATCTTCCAAAGCCTTCCCTGTGAACCGAGGACAAAGTAGAACAAATTCATTTTCCATAAGATGCTCCAAGACCTTCTATCATTTGGATATCACCGCCTCACTGACCTCTGCTCCCTACTCTCCCTCACTCACTAAATTCCAGCTAGTTCTGCCTGACTCATAAACTCGTTCATGCCTCAGGGCTTTATAGTGTCAGTGATGCCCAGTTCCCCAGGTTGATTGCAAATGTTTTATTGATGTTATTAGAAAAGTTAAAATACTTATTTACTGTAGATCCTCCATAGTTGATCACCTCAAGTTGACCTAATTTCCATAGACCAGACACGCACCCCATGAACATGTCAATACAGTAGACCTAATTCCTTTATGTTGACCACCTCCATATGTTGACCACTTGGTTACAGTCCCTTGGGTGTTCAGCTTAGACAGATTCTATAATATTTTCCAGGAAGCCTCTAATATGATCCTGACTCTGTATAGACCTAGGCTAACATGTGTGTTTGTGTCTTAGGTTTTCCAAAATAAGTTTAAAAAGTAAATAAATGAAAATTTTAGGAATAGGAAAAATCTTATAGAATAAGGATATAAAGAAAAATATTTTGCACAGGTATATAGTATGTTTTAAGCTAAGTGTTATTACAAAAGAGTCAAAAAGTTAAGAAAAAATTTAAAATTTATTAAGAAAAAATGTAACAAATAAGCTATGGTTAATTTAATATTGAAGAAATTAAAAACATTCACCTGAGAATGCATTTTTCAGAATGTTTCTCCATTGTTAAATGTTGTTTCAGCAAATATAGAGCATAGGCTCTGTGGGGAGAATCAGCAATAGATGAGTTTAGTATGGTTATGTGACGGGAACTATAATTGACTACCCCAACCTACATTTCCAAATTACTACGTCCCAGCTTATATCTACTATGAGGGGTATAGAAACAAAAATTTCATTTTTGTGGCTTCCTTGAAATAAATGGGGCCTATACATTTCTGACCATTGATGCACAGAAAGTAGACCTGTGCTTTGTCTTTTTTTTTTTTTAACCTTTTTTCTTTTTGCCACTATCTGACTATGGATGTCAGGACTAGAAGTGTAACAGGTATCTGATAATCATGAGACAAGAAGAATGAAGATAAAAGCCAATAAATTGATGATGGCTGTATCAGTCATGATAAGCTAAGTTCCACTGAGATAACAAGTGACTGAAAAATCTCAGTTGCTTATATAACACAGCTTTATATGATGTTTACAGTTCATACCCACTGTGCATTGGCTACGGTTTCTCACCATCATTTTGTCATCTAGTTTGATGAATCAGGCTTTATATGGAAGCCTCATTTTTCTGCCATGAGATCATAATGGCAGAAGTAAGAGAGAAATCATGGTGCCCCACGTACTGGCTATTAAAGGTTTTGCCTGGGAGTTAACCTCCACTCAGATTTCACTGGGCAAGCCATATGACCAAGCTCAGCAGAACTAAGATAGAGACATATAATTCTTCCCAAGGGAGAGCCTAGGAGTGTTTTTGAACAATAATATAACCTATCTTTGTCCTAGCTTACACTAAAAAATATTCAGTTAAATCTTTCAGCACACAAAATATACTTACTTACTTCCTAAGAAAATCCAACTCAAAAGTCCCATTTAATTATAGCATCAGGCCTGATGTTCACAATTTTATGATATCTCATCAGTCGGAATATGGCTTCTCTTGCTCCCGAAACTCATGAACTAACAAGACAAAGTGTCTGTTCCCTACATACCCAGGCACATCCAGTGTGTCATGCTAGAACACAGAAAAGGTAACTGCA